GTAGACGCTCCCTCTGAGCGAACAGCGCCTATAGGCGCTCATCCAGAGTCGCTCTCTCCGAGCGAACAGCGTCTTTAGGCGCCGTTCACTTATTATCAGTAACTGCCCAATAATGTCGTTTGTTTTGGACGCGCTAGCGGCACACGCTTCTTGTGCAGAGATTTTTTTACATAATCAAATATAATTATCCATAAATTTTGCCCCGATCATGTTAAAGATTACTAAAATTGTTATTATTATTAATATTATTGTTTGATCGGCGTGCCGGCCAGCCGCCTCAAGGATATTACTAGCAAAATCGGCTCCGCACACCGCGTTAGGAACGACTCGCGTATCGTGTTGTCCGCGCGGTCGATCTTCCACCGTCGCGCGGGCTGCCTAGAGAGCAATTCATTTCTGAGCGCTCCGCCGCGAAAGGGTTAATTCAGAATGATAAATTTTAAAACAAGGGGCGACACACAAGCCCACATTACAGTTTTTACATTCATACTTAGATTCGCGTCTTTTGTCGTTTGCACTGCAAACGACGCACCACGCTGACGCCGGCGCTCGTGCACACAGGTCATCGAGTGGATGCCGTCTATATCCGGCGCTCGTAACGAAAGGGTTAATTGTACTGTTACGCTTATATTAAATAAACCAAAATGAAATAATTGGTTATAATTTTTACTCATTTTTCGTTATAAGCTAGAGTGATTCAATAGTTAACAGATTAACAACAGGCAAACTTTATGTTGATACTGAAGTATCAATAATTTGAGTTTATGACATATTTTATAATTAATATATTCCTTTCTTTCTACCAAAAGGGGATAATTGTTTTGAGTATTCGTTTGTTACAGAATAATGATGCTGTTTCAAGAGCAATTAACGAACGCTTTCTTGTTGAAATATTTCTTTAGTAATACTTCGATTAATGTGTTCTGAAATAGAAATGTCTAATCTAAACTGTTCTCAAGTTACGATGAAACATCGATCATAACGGAAATGAGACTTTTCGCCTCTTTACGGATCAATCTGATGATCATTTCATCGTCTATTTCAGGCAACGATTTCCAAAGTATTATTAACATGTTTTAATCGCATTGAAACGAGGCTAAAAATCAACCTTGCCTTCTATATCATATTGGAACAGACTTTTATAATTCGTGTTATATCGTCCATCACATTAATGCAAACGAAAGTATGTATTGCAAGACAATTATTTTTTAGAAAATAGACTGGAGAGGAGTATAATATTGTATCATACTTGAAACCAGCGGTACGACATTATAACATGAATTGTTTATATATTTAAAGAGAAAAAAGCAAAAACAAATAGTGCAATATTTTCATTGAACATAAATTTATAAAAACATCCCACTGAAAGTAATAAATGTTTTATACAGAAATAACGTTCCACGTAACTGATACTTCCTGTGAAAAATAACTCGTTAAATAACATGTTTGAAATATTTCCAATTCGAATAACATTCAGTACTTTGGAAATTGTTCGCTTAATAGTCATTGAAATCTCCTCGAGACGAAGTAGAAAAACTTAATACTGGCTCACTCGCTTCCTGAAAGAGACTTTTCAACTTCGATCATCAACCGTTAAGTGTACAAAGGGTCTCAATGTAACAATTAACACGTAAAACATAAGGATTCTGACCAAAAAACTTTAGAATATACTTGTGAGAACTGAAGATTATTATACCGGGGTCTCGATCTGATTGTGTATGGCCTGTAGAGAACGACCGTAGAATAACGAGTACTTATTGTTAGAGAATTATACATTGTTAAGACGTGGATAAAATCTATTACGTAATACTGCAAGTGTGGGCGGTATGGAAATGTATGTACAAGTCTCTTAGTTGTATAAATAATTGAATTTCTTGTATTGAAGGAACGCGACCATTATAAACCATACAAATGTTAACCCATTCACATTTTCGATAATAAGAGTATCGTTATTTTTTCCTCATTACGAACGTTAATACAGGTTTCGTAATTACAAGCAAGAAGCATCTTATGCATAAGATAATTTTATAATTATAATCAAACGACAAAAATTAAAAGAGAAAAAAAAAGATAATTCTTCTCTTGAAATTTTTCCCTAGATAAAAAATACATTCGTTATGAAAATGAAGAAATTTCCTTGAAATTCTCTGCTAAAGTAGTGAAATACTTTGGAAATTTAACAGATATACATGAATGTCTTTAAAATAGACATATATTTTATTAGTGAAAAATAAAATTGTACTTTAATTGTTTTATGCATAAAAATGGTTCAACGAGGGACTTGTACAATATGGCGGAATTCTGATGTTCCTCGCGCGTGCACCTGTGCACCGTGACATTTGGATGTTTTTTATGAAGGATCGCGAGATCTCGTCGTAAATGCGACAGATTTTAGAGATTTTATGGATGTTATGCGACTTGCTCGTGATAAGGGCCGCTTAGTGAGTAACTCGTATTTCTATTGAAAGTAGCTGCTGTTTTATGTAAGAGAACGAGAGAGATTTATCAGTTTCAAGACGCGGTTCGATATATTAAAATGTCTATCGCAATGACCAACTTGATAGATTGCTCTATGTATTACAATATATTATTTATTCTGGTGCATTTGTAACAAATAAATGATTAAAGAGATGTCTTGGAACAAACGTTTTATTTTTTGTAACATAAAGATCACTTTATAAATAGACATTTATACGACAGAGACGAAAAATTGCAATTAACACTAATAAATTGACTTTGAATTTCGTCTATAAACTTACCAAACAGACGTTTTCTTCGTGGACTTTCTTCTTGTGCCATTTGTTAAACACTTATTAAAACATACATACAGTTGTGAACATTGATCAACACAATTTTCCATTTATCAGCAAATTTCTTGTTTAAAAACATATTTTTTACGAGATACATTGAAACGTGAAAACTATTACTGAAAAACTTTTCAAGTTAAAATGATGGATCTATAAATACTAATCAATGGTGAAAGGAAACTTATGAGTAGAATCTGTCCAGGCGCGATCTGGCGGTGAGTTCTAATAGTATTACCATAAACTTGATACATATTAAACTCTCCACGCTTACCATGGTTAGGAAATAATAAATTTAGTTGGAACAACTTTTATTTAAAAAAGGAAATAAAAACATATTATTTAATTTGAAGGTGTAGTACTTATTTTATAGTAATCAATCTTCCTATTAATTTATATTAAACACTATATTCTTAACAATCCATTACCAAGTAACAATAAAAGTAATGTATAAATATATAGATGAAATAAGAAATAAGAATTAAATATTGCATTTCTGAATTGTTAGATAATTCTTACACTTTTATTCCCCCAATATTTCCAACATTTGTATGCACTGGATTATTGTCGACACTATGAAATATAAAAAATGAAATCATTGTGAAATATACAAACATATAAACATCGCTCGCAATAATCCCAAAAATACTATGTGAGAGTACTATAGATCTGTACATTTATTTCTGCATGTCATAATTTCAAGATGATAATTATAATTAGTAGTGATAATCATAATAATTGGTATCGATGATTATATCCGAACGACAATTGATAATCCTATCTAATATTGTACAGTTCTTAATAATTTATAGAAATTAACATATGCTCCTAACAACTTGTAGCGCATGTGTTCAACTGTACCGCAAGAACTCCCAACGCGACAAGAAAAGGAGAACGAGCTGCCTGATCGATATCTAGTGCATTCTCCCTCTCTCTCTCTCTCTCTCTCTCTCTCTCTCTCTTTCCCCCGGTCGCCGGTACAGTTGCGGCAACAAGACACAAACTAGAAGTAGAATATTAAACAATTTCATATTTACTTGCGCATTGAATATCAATACTTAGATACTAAGCATTAGAATGCGCAATCAACACGGTACCATATTATACAAAATCCCTGTTCAATGCGCCACTTTCCCATGTAAACTTCAATGAAAGAAAAATGATAAAAATATACAATTAAACATAATAATTCGTTAATTTGTTAAGATATACGCATAGCAACTATATCCGGTAAGAAGCATTCGAGAAAATTGATTCTTAATGACATTGCGGTCTAATCTCGTGTGGAACAATACGCCGATGGGACATCAACGCCGGATGTTAGTAGGAAGACTACTATGATGCGAATTTAATTCGTGCAAACTAATATGGCTCAAAGTGACAACCGACGAAAAACTTCGTTAAGCGATTCTTAACGCTATATATAAATACTCCAGCGGTAGATTAAATGTGATGCTTATGAAATTGAAACATCAAAGAAATTCTTTACCCACGCAGGCTTTTCAAAGAATTGACTTATTAAGAAGTATTAAGCGAACAGGAAGACTACGAAAATCAATGGAACAATTTCTTCTTTTATGAACACCGTTTTCTTTCTCCTTCTTTCTTATTTTTAAAAGCTCACATACGTTACTTTCTAATTCCCTCATTCGTGGACATATATGCACGTAAGCATACGTACAGTGAACACTGAACGCGCACCAACTCACGCACACACGTAAAGAGAGGAAGAAACAATTTTTCCTTTTTTCTAATATCTCGACGCAATAATAATTTAAAACGGTAGGCAAGGACGTTGTTGACAAATATTGTACAGTATTGGACAAAAAATAATTCTATTCGAAAATCCTAAACGGTCGGTCTAGGACCCTAAACTAAACAGAAATTCAATTTATACGGGGACACAATTAAACGTATTCAAGTTTATACACGTTAACAATAAGTAAAAGCAGACGACTCGTCGCTCGATTTTTCAGTATGTACATACACGCCTTAATACATAAAACGGAGCAATCGTTAACGAACAGCCATAGTTCTTTTTGCCAGCGAAGATGAAACTCGACGATTTCAAATAATTCTTAAAATAAGTACACCGTACGAGTTATGAACTTACAAAATTAACGCGACTGTAAATCAAGTGGCAATTGATTTTTCATAAAGTTCAGGAATTGTTACAAAGAGTGAGTAAATCCGTTGAGATTGAACTAAATGTTGAAGGAAGAAAAGTAACGATTTTCCCCGTGAGATAATTTCCTGTACTATTTTAGTTTGTTCTCACTCATACCTTGCATCGCATACAACGACGATTATGTTAAAAGACGCTCCTTATACGCGCACATCGTTCCTCTTATCCAACACATAGTGACTATTTCAACATTTCGCAACTGAAGATCGAAATCGTTTCTCGTCTCAAACAAAAGATTAAATTAACTAACAAGATATCCTCGAGCAGACAAAAAATTCTTATATATTAATTTTTAATATACGCTTGACGATGCCATAAATGGACTTTCTGGTACTGAAAAGTTGACACCTTTCTTATATTAAAGAGAACAGAGAAAATACGTGTTTCCGAATCTGATGTAAATTTCTCGATTAATGTTCGACCTCGTCATGCAGACCCCCCATACAACGATCGGCGGCGAGGTTCTGCCGGATTGGAAAGCTTGAATTTCAACGCCACTTCACCTATTGCACATCCTCTGCAAAACCCCCTCGCATCACGAGGCGTACATTCTGTTGATTTCGTATTGGTAACGTTCTTGCACTGCTTTCCTCTTCAGCTTGAACGCGGCCGTTACTAATCCCATATCTGGTGACCATTGTTCTGCACACAATTTTACTGCCCCGGGTATTTCAAATTTTTGGAGGTTACCTGAGTTAAGAGTAACAAATTATTCAAATATTGTAAGTGATAGTTGATAACCAGTACTTGATAAAAAGTCGTGCTTCAAATATTTACATTTCTTGGCTTGCTCAACCAGTTCCTGCAATACCGCTTTCTCAACTTGTGGATTATTACACAACTCCTCTAAACTCTTTCCAGCGATTCCAAGCTTTTTGGCAATTTCTTCCAGATAATATTGATTAGGCACGACTAGCGCCACAGTGTAAGCCTTATGCGGGTCTCCGTAAACACAAATATTTTCCACGACGGGGCAAGTTTTCAACTCTGCCTCAACTTTTCCCAACGACACATATTCGCCGAGTTGTAATTTAACTAAATCCTTCTTTCGATCTGCAAATATAAATATTGATTCAATTAAACAATAAAAAACCTCAAAATATTTTTCTAATTTATTAGAGGAAATTAATATTAAGATAGTAGTGTACCGATAATTTTTATAGAACCATCTGCATGACATTCTCCAATATCACCAGTTCTGAACCATTGCCTCCCATCTTCCTCAAAGAAATCTTCTTTCGTCTTGTCTGGTAATTTGTAATAACCAGCTGAAACATTTTCACCGCCAATTACAATTTCTCCCCTAGGGAATGGAGTATCTGTAACTCTGTAACCAGCCTCTTCCCAATTTTCCAAACGAATATCACAAACTGTGGTTGGTGCTCCTACTCTCCCCGTACTCCTGTCGTGTTCTAGAAGACAACACAGTGTGATTCTGTATACAAAACTGTAAATGTTTTAACAAAATATAAAAGACAAAAACTTACTATCCATGACAGTAGCGCAAGAAGTTGTTTCTGTGAGTCCATATCCTTGAGTAACAGTGACGCACAAGCAAATTTTGACCTGAGTGTGCGTGTCTGGGGTCAGAGGTGCACCGCCACAAAGTATAAGCCGTACTCGGCCACCAAGAACTTGTCTTGCAGCTCCAAAGATATACTTATCGAAGATAGGTGTGTTGTAGCCACGTTTGGACCATTTCAATTTGTAATTGTAGGCAAAATTGAATATCGCTTGCCCAAAAGATCCCGATTTCTTTACTTTCTCGTTTATACCTTTCGAAATACGGTCCAAAATAAGCTGGAAAATGCAAAACCAAAAAAGTATATTATGAAGTTGAAAATAAATATGATTATAAATACAAATGTTAATTTTTAAAACTCACTGGTACAGCAGTTAAACACGTTGGATGCAAAACAGACGCATCGCCTTTGGATCCCCTCTGAATCTTGCTACTCGAATCGATCATAGTGAGAGGCGAACTATAGCCGATAGGTACACCAGTCAGAAGGCACACGCTCTCAGCGAGGAGTTCGAATACATGAGCCAGAGGTAGAAAACCAAGGAATACATCGTCCGCCCTAATTTCTACGGCGTCACAGAATGCCTTTAACGTGGAGATAATGTTCAAGTGAGACAGAATTACGCCTTTCGGCACTCCAGTCGAGCCAGACGTGTACATTATAATCGCCGTGTCGTTGCTTTGTGGCGGTTCCAATGGCGCCGTGGAAGAGTTGCCCTTCTTGATCACCTCGGAGAACGGTATAAGCTTCACGCCATCCTAAAATTGACAAGAAAGCGACTATAAAAATATGTTTGTATAATACTACATACTTTACCTCAAAACAGCCAAAGAATCGGACTTACTGACAATAAATGACATTAGCATGTACAAACCAGATTTCTGGTCTTCTTTGCATTACTGAATAAAACGGTTGTTTAATAACACAAAACCAAAAGGCAAAAAGCGAATGATGCAATACATGATACAATATATCACTAGATAAACGTATATAATCAACAACTAGAATGTTGTAAAAAAAAAAGAACAGTTATTTTTTACATATTCATTCAGACATTATTATCCAATCATCATTAACATTCATTAGATGTCTTATTAATTCACCACAACACATGTTGATAAATTAAAACGTTCCAGAGTGTTTACGTGATGTATGCACACCTTGTAACCGGTAGTGTCAGTCGGTTTCAGCTGGTCCTCCATGTAAATGATGGTTTTTACGTTCTGTGCCATTCCAAGAAGCCGTTTAAACTTTGGCAACAAGTCGTGGCTAGTGATCACGGTATCGACTTCGGTATCGTTGATGCCGTGAGCGATAGCCTCGTCGCCCAAGGTCGCGTAGATGGTAACCACGATTAAGTTCTGTTTAAAGCATCCATAGGCCGCGATCATCCATTCCGCCCTGGTCTCCGCGAAGATCACGATGTTCTTTCGCCCCGTGAGACCGAATTCCCTTAAACCACGACTAAAGGCCGTAGTATACCTGTCCACGTCGGTATACGTTTTCCATTTGTACTGTCCCATTTTATACTGCAATAAAAATAATGAAAAATTATTCATTTATATTTTAAGTTGAATTATAAATGATGAAAGAGTAATTAACATTCTTGTTAGAGTAGCTAATAGCTATTTATAGAGCTTGACAAAAAAGATAAGACTATAGAATTGAATAGATTCTCCTTCATACAATTTTTTCGATACATTGAAGTATTTCTTCTGAAGAAGTAATCTGTGTTGACTCCAAAGTCAAGTATCCATAATCAATTAGATTATCTTTTAAGTGAAATCTTTGAAATCTTGAAGGCATTGTTTTTTAAGATGCAGCTTCTGTTGAACTTAAAAATCGATTTAAATAACAATGACACTTTAAAAAAAAAAAAAAACACCTTTTACACACTTCCTTGGAGAAAGAAATCTCTGAGAAAAAGTACTTATTGAAATATTTAAAAATAAGTGTTCAATAAAAACGTATTTGCAACACAAATCCTTCTTTACCAAATGTCACACGTTAACCTTAAGGAATTATGCAACAAGGTGTATCTCATTCATGACGAAAAGATTCCTGAAAATACTAAATAAAACTAAATTATCTATCGACTAATCCAGAATTTCTTTTTAATCCAAAAATAATAAAACGACAGCATCTCAAAGAAAAAATTCGCTTTTTACGCGGAAATAGATCAACTTCAGATAAAATTCATTTAATTCGATATACATTCCTCCAGGGATTGAACCGCCAATCAATATTTTATATTTATTTATAGTATTTTTAGTATTTATATTTTTTTTTCAAAACTTTCAAGT